ACATACATATAATTGTAAAACATAGTTCAGTTTGTGTTGTTTTTATCATTGCAAAACATATAAAAGGAAGGTTCCTAGACAAGTGGGAGAGAATTTGAGTAAAAAAAAAGTGATAGAGAACTAAAATTGTGAGAGCATTCCAGGGGAGCTTAGGAGGCTGAGTACCAACATCTGCGAGGTTCCTTAATCTCAAGCTCCTTTGACTCCAACCCAAACCCTTGGGTTTAAATTCTCTAATTTCTCAGAGATTTGGGGCAGAGACAATTTAAGTCAGCGTGCATGTTCAGAGTTGAAGTTTGCAAAGTTTGCTTAGTTTCATGCTTGCAATAACTGTGCCAACAGACACTGGAAAAATGTTGGCTTTCATTTCTACTTTGGCATGCTGTTGTTTGGCTCTTGCACACTAGTTATCTGTTCACATTTACCATAAATAATGACTAGAAACCTAACCTGCAACTAGACATTTTAAGTAACTTCTGGAACAGTTTATTTCCTTCTTTCCTCCACCCCCTTAAGACTTTTTGTCTTGTGGGATTTATTTGCAATCTGCTAGATGAAGCTCTAAGGCAAGTTTGCCAGATCTGGGGCTGCATCATCGTTCAGCACATCTGGAAGTGGTTTATGGGCTCTCATTCCTTTGGTGCCGCGTCTGGACTCTGTGCTATTCCTCAGCAGCAGAGAGAGAAAAGAAAACCAGCACTACTCCAAAGTAAACTCTGAAGAGTTTGAAAAAGGAATTGAATCTTAAAACTGTTTCTGTGCCCTGTAAGGCCCTTGTACAGGGGACTTTAAAGGAGGACGATGGGCAAGGAATCTTTGGCAAGAGAGCTGACAGCTGTGGGCTATCTAGGATCCAAGTAAAAAGCTCTACAGCTCTTCAGGAGAAAGGAGTCCCGATTACTGTGCTTCTTTGAAGAGGTAAAAAGACTAATTATGCAGGAAATGTCCGAGCGGTAATGTCACTGTTTCTGAGTTTTCCCTTCTACAGCCCCTCGTTTTGTTACAGATTTTGGCAGCTGAGTTATGGACTGCCAGGTTCTAGGAACTAATGTCTAAATTCAGGAAAAATGAATAAATATTTGAAGGGGAACAAATATTCCTCTCTTTTTCTGGAAACCAGTAGGTGATCAGTCTGAGTTGCTGAAACTTTAGGAACTTTGTAGGTTTGAAATGCAGACTTATTTTGTTTGATTATTTTGGACTTTGGATTTTAAAATATAAAACATAGTTCAGTTTATGTTGTTTTTATGATGCAGAAGATATCCTGAGGCTGTGACTATTCAACTTTCATTCTGTGGTGTTCATCAGTATTATTTGTGACTCTCATTACAATTTAATTAAAAGCAGTAGTCAGCTCCATTGAAGTCAGTAGAAAATTGCTGTTAGCTTGAATGAGATGAGAGTGTTACTTCAAGAGTGTAGGGGTTTTTGTTGCCTCTGTCCTCATCTAAATGAGTAAAATTTGTAATGGCTAATGCTGCAATACTTGTGTAATGTGTGAGAAAGGGGACATTTAAACAGCAGGCTTTTGTGACTGATAAGTTTGTTTTCATCTCTATGTAAATGAATGCCACATGAAAGGAGTGGGCTGCTGGAATGCAGGCAAGGGCTGCAGATGTGAAAGAATTGCTCTTAGAAATATTCTTCTCTCTACAATCTAGTCAGCTGTGAGGATCTAAATAAATGCAAATATATCATGGCTTGTAAACAAAGCCTCATCGTTGCTTTATGTATATTTTTATTACAATTTTAGTTGCTAATCAAAAAGTGGAGTCTAATTCATTATGCTCCCTCACTATCAGTATTAACCAATGGGAGAGATTCATTTTTGTGACTCAAGTTTCAAGAATTTTTGCCGTTCCATATTCCTTTTCAAGGAATCAGAATGAATTTCATTTTTATATGTGCACAGAAACTGTTGTCTATCCTTATCTAGGCTCTAGTGGATCTGTGTGTATGTAATTGGGAAAAATGGGTTTCAGTTGTGTAGATAGCTGCTGTAGTGGTGGAATCACATGGTTGTTTCTTCCTTCCCTCCTGCCCCAACTTCTGTTGCTGATTTTTTACTGTTGTTTTTTTCACAAAAACAGCAGTAGTAAACAATACCAGCGCTTCCAGAACTCAAACAAATGTTATCTGTTACACAGTTCTGTATTTTAGGGGTTACGTTCTTTCCTCTTGGGCATAAAGACACGGTCATGCTTAGGCCTTGTTTAGAAGAGCAGTTTTATGGAAGGCTACTTCACTTTCCTAAGCATCACAAATACAACGCATAAATCTGAGGGCAGCTCTGAAAGTAATGCCTCCTATTTTATGATGTTGGCCTGCAATGTCAGAGGCAGCTGTTGGTGATATGGCAGGAGAGGCTGAACCTTCCCACCAATGTCCCATTACATGTTGTTGCCATGTGACAGATGGCAGCAGAAGGGCAGTCTGACAAAATAGTGTTTGAAATGGAAGTGTGCATGAAGCAAAATTCCTCCATGCAGAGAAGTGGCACCCACTGGCATGCATTCACATTTGCTGAACATTTATGGGGACCAGTGTATGTGAGCACAGTGAGGAGGCGGTGATGTGTTTCAGCAGTGGGAACAGTGACACTCACTTCAGCTGATGCAGACTTCTGTGAGCACAGCATGAAGACTCTTGCTCATCACTGGCAAAAAGGCGTAGCTAATGGTGATGACGGTGTTGAAAAACAGCCTTCTGTAGTGGAGAATTTGCTGTATCAGTGTTACTGTGCTCTTTGTAGTTGTAGTTTCCAAGAAACTACAATCATAGAATCACAGACTCATAGAATCAAAGAATCATAGAATCATAGAATCAAAGAATCATAGAATCACAGAATCATAGAATGGTCTGGGTTGAAAAGGACCACAATGATCATTGAGTTTCAACACCCAGCTACGTGCAGGGTCACCAACCACCAGACCAGGCTGCCCAGAGCCACATCCAGTCTGGCCTTGAATGCCTCCAGGGATGGGGCATCCACAGCCTCCTCAGACAACCTGTTCCAGTGCGTCACCACCCTCTATGTGACCACTTCCTCCTAATATGTAACTTAAACCTCCCCTGTCTGAGTTTAAAACCATTCCCCCTTGTCCTATCACTATTCACCCTTGTAAACAGCCATTCCCCCTCCTGTTTATACTTTCCCTTCAAGTACTGGAAGGCCACAATGAGGCCTCCCTGGAGCCTTCTCTTCTCCAATCTAAACAAACCCAGTTCCCTCAACCTTTTCTCATAGGAGAGGTGCTTCAGCCTTCTGATCATCAAGGAGCACTAGGAGGAGTGATCAAGGAGGCAGTACTTTCAGAGCGGCCTACATACAAGCCACTTTGCACAAGTTCCCCTTTTACTGTTGCTGGTAGGACAATTCCTAGTTTGGGAAGTATATTCTAGCAAGAGGTTAATATTTGTGATTACTCTTGTGTTTTATTTGAGATCTGATATAGATATATTTACAAATTGCACCTGATGGTGTTTAGACACCATTTTGTAAATTTTTTTAAGACGTGTTAAAAATGTTACTTATTACTGATGTAGGTGATTGGGCTGAATGTATTAAAACACAATGCATTTCAATTCTTTCTCTCTCTCTCTCTCTTTTTTTTTTTTTTTTTTTTTACTACAGACCACAGTTCTTATCCTACAGAACACATGGCTCTTTTAAAGAAAAGTAAGAGAGATTAAAAGCATTTTTAAAATATGCATTTTTAAAAGAGGGTAGTGATGTCAAATGGAATTGCTCAAAACTGCTGTAACAGTTGCATGCAAACTCTAGTTTTGCCAAATTAGATTTAACCTTTATTATCAAAATAAGACTTTTCTTGTAAACTACATCAGATAAGTATGGTCATAAATTCCACTAACCAGAGATCACTCACCACTTTTCTCAGCGACACTTATGGAGCTGGGCTTTCCCTCTAAGGGCACAGGTAATGAGTAGCTCCATGTGGGTTTGCCCAGAGCACCCAGAGTGGCTTTTTAACAGAGCTATGCACAGTGATGCTCTTCATACTCGCTTCTGAAATGCAGCCCTGAGAAATTTGAGTTCTCATCAGTTGTCAAGATCAATGACTGAAAATTGACCCAAAATTTCACTGAAGCCCGTGGATGTTTTCTCAGCTGACGTGAGTCAGTGCAGTTGGTGACATGTGTGAACCAACTGCAACTTATTTTCATGCTCAGTTCTGCTCAGTAACCCCTTTTGAATTGAAGAGACTAAAACTTTGTTTCCTTTTTTCTTTTGTACTCCTTAAATATTTACCATCACACACAAAAGTGATGAAGAAGATCTAAAGAACTCCCTAGAGTATTTCTTCCCCATTATACCACTGAGCTGTTATGTACTCACAGTTGGCTTATGTTGGATGACTTAACCTAGTACAGCAAAAACTGATAGGAACCGTGAAGTCGTAATATACAGCAAAGCACTTGCTTTTGCATTTTTGGATTTGGTTTTACTAATTAAAGTGTCAACATTTGTATGTGTTTTCAAATTTTGCAATAAACCCTACCTGGTTTCAGTGGTGTGCTGGGTTTATTTTTCTAGTACTGTTAGAATTTTGCTTGAGTATACCTTTGCATGTTGAATTCATATAAGATTTGCATGTTGAATTCAGTTCTTTTTTTCTTGTGTCTGAAGGAAGTGTGAGTGAAGGAAAATGTAGGAAAAAATAATTTGTTCTTGAAGTCCCAGGATGTAGCCAATGACGGAAAGTTCCAGGCTTCTAGTATTCAGAAACATGAATTTAATAGTATGGAGTGTATTGGGAGCTTAGTGATTTATTGAGCAACCAATCAATGAAAATCAGATGGTTGGAAATAAATGGAAAAAGGTAGAAATGCATTATGCTATTAACACGGCATTTGTAGTTCGATCAAATAGCAAGAGAAAGCAGACTTTGGCAAACACAGCAAATACACATGCTATGTAATGGTTGCAAATTGTCTTTCTTTCTGAAAAGGTACAATTAGTACTCTAGCTATTAGAGTGATCGTTAACAAATTCTCTCTATTTTGTTTCAGTTAACCAGATCTTACTGTTACTTCTTATATTAACTGTGTGTGCAATTCTGTACAACAAAGTTCACAAAGCACCATCTGCCTTAAGGAATGAAGCAGGTAAATGACTTATGTTTCTGATTTATAGTTCTTTTCTCTTCATTTGAGCAGTTTGGGTTGGCTTTTTTTTGTTGTTTGTTTGTTTGTTTGTTTGTTTCCCCCTAATTAAACCTGTTTGCCTTGCAGTAGATGAGCCATTTAAGCTGTTGCACGTGGTCTGGGATGCAGAAGTTTTTTGGTTCTGAATTCCTCAAAGAAACTAGCAGGAGAGTGACTAAGAAATGTCATCCTGCTTCAAATTTTTATCCAGATGTCACTGATGAAGTTGGAAGCTGGTGTATATCTTTGGTTACACTGAACACTATTTTTTCCCCATTTTATCATTAGCAACTTCCTCGTGGTGCAGAACTTTTCACTATTCCTTTCTAGTGTGCTTCCCAAAGAAGTGAAGCTCATGCAGTTGCACCAGCTCTTCCACTTACCTCCTTCCTTTGATAATTTTGGAATCTATCATTCAATTTATTCTAAATATAACTGAGAAGTCTCAAAGGTATTCAGACTTCCTCAGGTTTCCTGTGAATAAGCAGTTACATGGAGGACAGCCTGAATTGTGTCCCTGTTGGGCAGAAAGCACAGAGAACTCTGTATTCTGTTTGGAGACATCCAACAGTCCCATCCACCTAAATGTGGTTCTGGATTAGCAACAGTTCATGCTGTGTATCTTGGCAAATGTGGATGTATAGAAGATCTGGTAAAGAAATGGGGTGATTGTGATATGATTCTACTGTTTGTAGAACTTTGTGCTCACTCATATCAACCAGATAGGATACAAGCGTTTCTCAATTTTCTAATATAACATATGGTTTGTTTCTTGTAGATGACTTGGAGAGTCCTAAGGAAATGGAGGAAGAAATCCCAGTTGTAATCTGCGCTGCTGCAGGCAGAATGGGTGCAACTGTAGCAGCAATCAGTAGCATCTACAGCAACACAGAGGCTAATGTTTTGTTCTACATAGTTGGACTGAAGAACACCATCCCACATATTCGGTATAAACCAGCCTTATTTTATTTCATGCTGTAATTAGGAGCAGATTGTTGCTTTCCTTAGCATGGGCATAAAATTTAGAGGACTTTTCAGGAAATTGCTTCTTCCTTTTGCTTAAGTAGTGCTATTGGTTTCAGTCCCCCGGATTCCCTACATTTAGGCATAAGGATCATTTTGCCCCACTCAAGGCACTGACTAGTGTAAAGGGGTATGAAATAACTAGACCAAGTCCATAGCTGTGCCTTTCTGCCTTTTGTATCTGTAGAAGGATATATAATTAGGCAAGTGACAAGCTTACTTGTTGCATGCCCGCTTTGTGGCATTGAGCTCACCTTGTGTGGAGTCATATCTTCAGCTTCGGAGTAGCAAAGCCTACTGCCTAAAGCTAATTTCAGGTTAGACGTAGTGTTAAAGTCTTGAAATAGAGGCCCAAAGAAGCTAGTAATGAATGTTTGGATGTTAAATTCAAACGTTCTCTACAAATGGAGGTGTGGTGTGAATCGAAATAAAAGCTGATTGTTTTAGTAGTTCTTGCCTCTGGCTGCTTCTGTAACTTGTGTACTCACAAAATGTGTCAAAGTGAAAAGATGTGATGAGTTTTCCCAATCCAATTCATCAGTAATCTAGAAAATAGAATGGAGAATGTTCTCTCTGTATCTGCAGTTGGCATGAAGCTGGAAGAGACATTGAGCAGCATGATGAGCTGAAAACAAATTGATGATGAGCTGAAAAAAATGAGCTGTAAACTGTGATGAAGTTCAGTAGAGGTGGAAATAACTGATTGTGTTAGCTCAGGGTGAAGCAGTTGTTTTATAGAATCACAAAATCATGAAGGTTGGAAAAGATCTTGAAGATCACCCAGTCCAACCATCAGCCCATCCCCCCCATGCCCACTGACTGCGTTCCTCAGTGCCACATCCATATGGTTCTGGAACATTTCCAGGGACGGTGACTCCACCACCTCCCTGGACAGCCTGTGCCACTGCAGCACTGTTCTTTATGAGAATAAATGTTTCCTAATATCCAACCTGAATGGAATCATAGATTCTATTTGATAACACTTGCCAGAGAATATAAGAACTCCAGGTGCATAGTAACATGAGTGTAATTTAAGATAGGTCAGACAGAAACTTTACTATAATCATAGTGAGAGAGCAAAGGCACAGAGTGATAGATGCTGTCTCAATGTTCTTTTGTTAAGTACTTGGTGTTCCTATATTCTTTGATACACTCATTTTGAAAACTACAGAGCTATGACTAATAATGGACCACACTACTGTGTGTGGACATGCGTACATACACACATACACTTCATAGTGAGATATGCTTGTGGATGTATATGGCCTCTGACAATGTGAGGACATTTTTTGATGATAAGAAATGTGACAAAATATTGGACAAAAACAGTTTTTTTCCTCTGCTAACCTGTGAATACATATGATGATCATCTTGAAGAACATAAAACTGCAAAAGGGAAAAAAGTAACCTATTCTTTAATAGCACAGCAGATAGGATAAGAAAAAAAAATGGTTTATAGTAAGAAAGACAAGGAAACTGACATTTAATGCTTGTGGTGAGGAAAGATGTGTTGCTGCAGACAGAAGTGGTTCTGTCTGGGGGTCAGGTAGACCAAGTGAGCTTCCAAGGCCTCTTATTCTCCTATGAGTCTGAGAAAATATTTGCTAAAAGCTGAATATTTATTTTAACACTTTTATTTTTAATCATAGAAAATGGATTGAAAATTCTAAACTAAAAGAGATAAAATTTAAGACTGTGGAATTCAACCCCATGGTACTGAAAGGAAAAATCAGACAAGATGCATCCCGTCCTGAGCTACTACAGCCTGTGAGTAGACAAACACCACATAACACATTTTCAGAATTTTAATACTTATTACAGGTTTTAAGATGTCCCAGTCCTCTGTTCTGTTACACAGAAGGGGTATAACTCAAAGTAGCCCCTTCAGGTCCAATGCTAAGCTTTCACACAAGAAGGAAATGTGCACTGTAACAAGTTCCTTGCAACTCTTCTGTCTTGCTGGGATGTCATCTATTCTGTGGCATAAACTCAGCGATTTGAATGTGTTGTTTAGAAGAGGAAAGGTGTCATAGTGTTCTTTGTGTCTCCATGATATCTAGTGGGCTGCAATCTGTTTATGTCTGGGATTAATTCAGAGACTAGAAACTAAAATATTGCTGGTTGACAAGAGGCAAATGAAATATAAGGAATTATTAGTAAAAGAGTTAGAAACAAAGCAGGGAATAACATTATGCCAAAATGTAAATACATAGTTTTCCCACCACCCTAAATACTCTGTGCAGATTAAATCCACTTATCTCAAAAGGATATAGAACCACTGGAAAAGTCTTAGGACTGTTCAGAGTGTTTGTTCTTTTGCCCTTCTCTGAGCTTGTGGCATTTCTAATGCATGAAAAGAATTTCATGCAATATTTGTGAGAGTAATTTAATATTCTTTAGCCTGGAAATGGCCTTCTGGCATGAAAACAGTAGAGATCTACAGAACTGACTGGCATGGAGGTCAGAATAGGGGATGATAACTTACTGTCTCTTCTCATATAAGAACTAACAGCTATTCAAATAATTTAGTAAGAGGAACAGTCAGATCAAAGAAGAAATGTTGCATGTTTTTCAAGCAGTGAGTACTAAACCTCTAGAATTTGCTGCTAAAATATCTTGTGAACGTAATAAATTCACAGGGATTCAGTGGAGGCTGAAGTGGACTACATCTGGTTCAGGAAATTTCTTGAGTTGCAAATTTAAATGAATTCTGTATACTTGCTGTATTCTTACATTTGTCTGATCATCTCTGCTTAGGACCACTCTGACAAGTGAAATGATCTGAATCAACATGGTTGATGGTGATGCCTTTTCCCTCTGTGTATTCATTATTTCTATTGTATTGTCTTTACTCAACGCTGGTGAGATTGCATTTGGGATAGTGTTGTCCTGTTCATAGCTGGATCAGCACCAGAAATTTATGAATTTATTTAAGTGAATTCAATAGGGGGTCACAAAGGTGATGAAGGGACTGGAACATATATATGTGAAGAGAGGCAAATAGAGCTGGGACCATTCATCCTGCAGAAGAGAGGGCTCCAAGGGATCTGATCAATGTGTTTATTAAATACCTGATGGGATGGATGAAGACAAGAGAGCCAGTCTCATTTCAGTAGTGCCTGCTAGTAGAGCAAGAGGCAATGGGCAGAAGTTAAAACCATAACATTAAATCTCAATGCAAGGTAAATCATTTTTTAATGATGAAAGTGGTCAAACACATGGAGCAGGGTGTGATGTCTCCATCTGTGGAGATATTCAGAACCCAACTGTACATGGTCCCATGCAGTTTGCCCTAGTGGGGGGAATGGTCTGGGAAGGATCTCCATTCCAACATAAGTGGTTCTGTGATTCTGATGGAAGAGAAACTATTTTGGACTGCTTGGTTAAGCCCACAGTAAACAAAGTGGGATAAATAATGGGGTCAAGACACTGGGAAAGCTACATGAAAGAAGCATATGATAGTTGGCTAGTGCCCAATGATGAGAGAAATCAAAACAGAATATTAATTGAGACAGTGTCATCTGAAATCCAGGAAGAAAATTCTCTAGCCCCCATGTGGTGTTAGAAAGAGGCATTCCTTTATTCCTCATGATACTTACTGGGCATCTTGACAAGTCAAGCACGTGCTCTCAGAGTTAAAGTTCTACATGTAAACAGTTACAACATACATATGCAATACATTCGCATATTCATTCTTTTCCAAGAACTCATCAATATATGCTAATGTCCTTCTGGGCATGCCTGGTAGGAGCCTCTGGTGGTCTTAGACCACCTACTTCTTGCTCATTTTTCCCTCATCATCTTCATCACAATGACTTTTGGCTGACCATTAGCTGTTTTTCCCCAGTTTTGTGGATTTCCATTGCTGTAATGTCATAATGAGCAACTTTCTTTCTTGGTGCACTGTAAACTAAAACAATATATGTGAAATCCAAGAAAAAAGTCCTTGCACCCAGTGGTTGCAAACATAAAAGAAGTCTGTGAAGCAGGATCATTGAGAATAAGAAGACTGTTCACACACCAAGCAAAGCTAAACTGAAAAGTTCTAGAACTAGCATAGCATTTATTGATTCCTTTTGCTAAACTACTATATTGGTTCTCAAACTAATATACTGATCCCTATTGCTAAACCAGCCTATATTAATGGAAGCTTGACACTAATGCATTACACTTGTTTGTAATTAAGGATTTACTCTTCTTTTCCTGTTAAATAGCTGAACTTCGTTCGATTTTATCTTCCTTTGCTTATCCAGAAACATGAGAAAGTCATATATTTGGATGATGATGTCATTGTTCAAGGTAAGCTGTCTCCAAAAAGCAATTTCTAGCAGAATTAGCATAAAACTTACTGCAGCTTTCATGGTCATCTCAAAAGACAGGATATAGTTAAAAGCAAGGAAGCTGCTAGGAATGTTGTTCTTGTGAAAAATACAAATAATCTATTTATTTAGAGGAAATTTTGAAGAAAAGCATGTCCCTACATGTCTGCTGAACAGTTGATTTTGATCAAAATTACATGCACTGTTTTCATTTAAATTAAATTTGGTCAATTGCTTTTTCACTTGGGTGCGACTTGTGTTTCCTGCTAGCATTCAAATTCCCACAAATGTTGGCAGCACCTTTCCCAGAATTGCTATTTGTTCTTCAGAGTAGGAGGAATTTACTCAGCTAGGTGGGCTAAGACCCCAAATACTAAAAATGTGATTTTGAATATCTTCAGCTCAAAATACACAGCATTTTTCAAATCGTGATTAAAGATGTTAGAGTTCTTAGACAAATAAGAACAGTCAGAAAATACAAAAATCCTGAAAAACATATATTTTTTTTTTCATACAAATAAATCAAATTAGAGGAATAGTTGCTTTTTTTTTTTTTTTTTTCCCCAAAGAATTTCTGACCCCCACTTACCTGCATCCCTCTTTCCTGCACCCACTCTGACATTCACCAGGAAGAAGACTACTTTCAGCCTGAATTAACTTCCTGGTAGGAGTCAAGGCAGTACTCCCACAGACAGCAAGGAGGTGGCCCACAGCAGGGGGGAGGTAGGGCTTTCTCTTCCATTAGGGTATACCAGATTGTGTCAGCTGATACTGCTTCTGGAAACATAGATAAGGTGCAGTTTTTCATTACAGTTTACGGTAGGCTGCTGCCTACTGAAGCAGTCTCTCCTATCCTCAGGCAGCTCCTGTTACTTCTCTTCTTTCATATCTACAGCTGTGAAACAAGCTGACTAAGCTGCTTGACCTGGCAGAAGACAGGCTATGTTAAAAAACAAAAACAGAAATCAACCAATCAAAAATGTAACAACCACAAAACACAAAACCCTTTTTTCTCCTTGTTTCTTCAGTCAGCTTAGGTTGCTCATCCTTGGGCAGTGTAACCATAGGGCTCAGAGGAGGAGAATAAGGTTGGACATGTGGGAGCAGAAGCAGAGGGTGGGAGTCTGTTTTGGCAGCTGCTTATTTGTAATATGAGAGAGCTCCCTGTTTGATGTGTCTGGAATGGGAGGGGATAGGAGCTCTGACATGGTAAGGAGTGAATGAGGATTTCAGAGTTTAACTTGAGGTTTGTTTGTTGGTCAGCTGCTTTCTGTGGAGCAGTAAGAATGAAACATGCTGAACTTTTGGAACAAAATCCAGAAGGCTGTGGAGTCTCTTCTGAAAATGTTCACAAACCATGCAGACACCTTCCTCTGGAACGTACTATAGGGAGCCTGCTTTAGCAGGGGTTGGACTACATGATTTCCAGAGGACCCAACACATACAACTCTGTGATTCTGTGTAGTGTTTGTGTATTTAATTACAGAGAAGAGTAAGCCCTGCTACTGTGGTGGAGGGGTTGGCCTTTTGCAGGGCAAGTGTAGGTCCTGGTCACTGTTAGTGTCCCTCTTATGGGGCTGCCAGGCACTCCCAGGTAGGTGGCCAGGAGTGGAGGGGCTGCAGCTCTGGGCAGAGGGACCTCAGGCTGCAGCCCTGGCTCTGGGAGCTGCCCACATTCCAGTGCTCACCCCGTTGCCACCATGTCCCCACCCAGCTCACCTCTGCCACTGCCTGCCCATGGAGTGTGAGCAGGGCTGCCACCCAGATCAGACTGTTCAGGGCCTCATTCCACCTGGCCTTGAACACCTCTAGGGATGGGGTATCCACAGCTTCTTTGTGCAGATGTCATGTGTTAGGCTATTTCCCTCTGTCAGGAAGGAGTTGGGTGGGTTGGGAAGCCTCCAGTGTAACAGGCACCTTTCAGCTGGCCAGTGCTCATCAATCAGCACTGGGAATGCAGGTATTTTCCTAAAAGGTGTAAACACAGTATTATCAGGAAAACAAAACCAAGCAACCAACCAAAAAACTGAAAAAGCACTTCTGAGGGAAAGAACTAATAGAATGCATAATTCTGTAACCATGCTTCTTAACAACGTAATAAGCTTCTGTTTAAGTTGTTTTTGGATGTTCAGACCAGATTATTGTAATCAGTATTCAGTACATCCACATCTGAAATTAGACACCCAAGTACAGGACTCAAATTTGAAATTTTTCCCATATTGCAAAATTCAGCCTTGACTGATACCTAGAATATCTGCTGAACTAACTAACATATATGAGAAGTTATCCTATCATCTGTGTAGCTGTGTGATACATTTGTACTTATGCTCCTGAACTTTGTGAACAGGTGACATTCAGGAACTCTATGATACAAGGCTGGCTCCTGGCCATGCTGCGGCTTTTTCAGATGATTGTGATCTCCCTTCCACACATGAGATGGTTAGAAGTGTAGGGATGCAGGTAAGATGCTGTTCTGTAATTCTAATCATGAATATATTGACTCATAAATGTAATATGGATCTATGTGTTCCCCAAAGTATGTATGTAGTGACAGGATGAGGAAAAATGCCTTTAAACTGGAAGAGAGCAGATTTAGTCTAGATAACAGGAAGAAATTCTTTAATGTGAGGGTGGTGAGACACTGGAACAGGCTGCCCAGCGAGGTTGTGGATGCCCCCACCCTTGAGGCATTCAAGACCAGGCTGTGATGGGGCTTTGAGCAGCCTGGTCTAGAGGGAGGTGTCCCTATCTATCGCTGGGGGACTGGACCTACATCATCTTAAAGGTCTCTTCCAACCCAAACTATTATGATTTCATGGAAGTTTTCTTCTAATATTTTAAAATGATTTTTTACTGGTTTTACAGTTAATGAAGTACTATAGTTCTGTACAGAAAGACCAAAATACGGTGAGGAGAGAGCTTTATAGAACTTCCATGGTACAAAACTGTGGAAGAAGTAATTCAGTAGCTGGGAGCACTGTGCCTTTCAACCCCATGTCATATGGAAATTGAGATAGATAATCATCATTTAGAAACTCAGCTTTGGGGGTACATATTTAGTAACATAGAGCTACACTTATTCATTGAGATTCACAGGGAATAAATATATATATATATTTTTAACTTCCTAGAACACATACATGGGATTCCTGGACTATAGAAAGCAAGCAATTAGAGACCTCGGCATCAGCCCCAGCACCTGCTCCTTTAATCCTGGGGTAATTGTTGCTAACATGACTGAATGGAAAAATCAGCGGCTCACAAAGCAGTTGGAAAAGTGGATGCAAAGAAATGTAGAGTATGTATAGAAATCTAGCTTTGCACTTAACTGTAAACTGAACATTAAAGTATCATCTTCTGTTTGTAAGCTCTTTAAAGATTGTAACTCTATAAACAGTCTTTTCTTCGCTTCATGAAATCCCAAAGTAAATTTCCACATGCTTAAACCTGATCAACAGTGTAACAGGAAATGCCACCTGGAACTTCAGTCTTGCATTTAATCACAAACCACACTCAATGCTGAGGGGCACTGAGAACACGTGGTTCTTGTTTTGGATGACCTACCTCACCTTGGTTCAATACACTTATCATCTTCCCTTCTTGAGGCTGGTTTAGAGAGGAAGGAATATTTCCTTGTTTGTGTGGGGTTTCTCTAATTGAACTGTCGTTGGGCATCACATTTCTTAAAATACCAATAGAAAACACTCCTCTATAGACGAAATGAACCTGATGTGAAAGATAATTTTTCACTATGATGAAGTCATGAATATAGTGAAAACAGTGTTCATTTTTTTTCATTGTTAATCTGTTTGCAAATTTGACACTTCCTTTCCCTGCAAAGGCTTATATTTAGGAAAGTTAAATTGAAACAATTATTTGTGCTTTTGGATTCCATTCGTTATTGGTTATTTTCAGGACAGAAGAAAGGAGGAAAGACACAAACAATGAGCACATGAGTGAATGAAAAGCTCCATGGCTTTCTCTTACTCTGTTTACAGAATGTTCTGAAAGGCCACTGCTATGCTTTTTAAGAGCCTGAAAAAAACCTCCATGAGCATCACAGCAGATTCATTCTAGAAAGATGATTTTGTACCATTACAATACATTTCTGTTCCTTTTAGCTCAATATTGAAACCACAGTGAACCAAATAGCATTGTTATTAGTAAGAAAGAGTTTTTGAAAGTTATGATTTTTTTTTATTTGTTGTTCTGTAGCCTCTGAGCACCTCTTGATACTTCTCAGGCTTCCTCCTTGCTGGACACAGCAGGCAGCATAATGTCCTGCAGGCGCTGTGGCTGCTCCCATCTGCTGCCTGGCCAGGCCCGCAGCACACTGTGGCCAGACATCTGCCTGCTGCCACTTAGACATCCCTTCACAGTAATTTGACTTTTTTTTTTTTTTTTTAAACCCTGCATTTTTCACAGAACTCACAGGAAATTAATATCCATTAGCTGCTGGTTTATACTAACCAGTCTGCCAAATCTGTTCTGAAGTTAACTTCAGGCCTCAAAGTTGGCCAGGTGGGAAGCAGAAGGAAGACAGACGTACGGCAGTGCGTACAGCTTCCTAAGAAACCAGGCTAAAATAGGTTTGATTCCATTATGTTGACAGCTTCTTTTTCCTACTGTAAACTTTTTCAGCCTCGTAGACTGCAGGCAGTGTGCAGAATACTCAGCTTCATGCTGGGTCTGACTCCCAGCACATTGCTTTGCAGCAACAACCTACTCAGCAGGAATTGGAGTTCCAAACGCAAACAATTAAACAATTAAAAGCATTAGAAAGGAATATGCTGAAAATCAGGCTGTTTGGAGTACTTACAAGTTTAGTTGTCTGATTTTTGTACTAAAGACTCTTTGATTGAGGTTCAGACATTTTCTTGTTTTCTTTTGCAGGGAAAACCTCTACAGCAGCACCCTTGGGGGAGGTGTGGCGACCTCTCCAATGCTGATTGTATTTCACGGGAAGCATTCCACTATCAATCCTATGTGGCACATACGGCATCTCGGTAAGTTTTAACTTTCTATTTGCAGCTGGAACCCAATAAAGTGAGAGGTTAAGATTCCAGTATAGGACCTTACATTAGTTACAGGACTGCAGAATAATTGATCTAAATTTTCTTAAGCCATGGAAAAGAATGTATGAAAGATCTGAATATAGTCACAGACTTAAAAAAAAAAAAAATAATAAAATCAGACACTTCTAGAAGGCACAGCAGAAGTACATGGGATGCCTGGCAGTCTTTGTGCAGCCCATATTCTGGAGGATGTAGTTGACATTCACCTGGCAATGGTGACTTATCCTGAGAAGATAATAGCTCAGCTAGCAAAGTAAAATGAACAGCATGATGAAGCTGTATGTAAATACCAGCTACCAGGATGTTGCTGTTAAGAGGAAGCTGAGATTTTTCAGATGTGGAGTTAAAGAGGCCTGAAATTGAAAAATGCTGCTCTATTATACAGTTAGCTGCCTACTGACAGGTGAAACCATGCTAATCAGACTTTTTAAAAAACAAACAAACTGTATTTACCTCATTGTGTAGTGTCTTCCAGTACTAAAAGCTGGATTTTATTCCATGTACTCATGCAGGTTGGAGTCCCGATACCCGGTATTCAGAGCATTTTCTTCAAGAAGCTAAATTACTTCACTGGAATGGGAGATATAAACCTTGGGACTATCCCAGCGTTCACACTGACCTCTGGGAAAACTGGTTTATCCCTGACCCTTCAGGGAAGTTCAAATTAACGCGTCCTGACAGCTGATACTGAAAACACTTCAACATATTCAAACCTTTTGGTTTGCAGTATGCAAATAGTTGGCGATGCAACACATCAAATCATATAACTAACTGATTGTAGAAAAACGTTGCTTAAATATTGCCATGATGTGACTATCAGTTTTTAGGGCTTATGGGTGGTGTGTTAGTTACACAGTTCAAAATTTTTTTTTACTTTCAAATAAGGTGAGGAAACAAGTTTACTTTTGAGATATTTTCATTAAATATTTACTGAGGTGAATATAAAGAAACACACAGATAATGCGTTTCAATGTGAGGTCCAGTATCTGCCAGGAGAAAAAAATCTACAGAGGAAATAACTTGTGATACTAGATACAAAGCATCTTTAGTCTATCAGCTGACATGGAGCAGCTCAAAATTAAAACTCAGGCAGCATTTTAATAAGTAGAATTCAGCTGCATGATGATCATTTCGCAAAGTGCAAAACACTGTTTGTGCAGTCAGTGTATGACATACTCTGTAGCTCTGTAGAGTATTTAGGCCACCGCTAGCAGGATGTAAAAGGACACTCAAAGACACTGTGATACAATTCCTGATTTTATTGTGAAACAGAGAGAGATTTAAGACAGATTAAGAACCTCTGGATTACTGTAATGAAAAGAGCACCGGTCCCAAGGGAGTACACAAACTGTAGTACTGAGTGAAAGTCATTATACACGTAACTGTATTTTATACCTAGTAGGTGCCTCTGTTCCAGAAGAGACCTTTCCCTTCAACTCAAACAGGAGAGCAGTACTGTAGTTCTGTACTACTGTGCTATCTCACCAGCAGTGCTAGTTACATGCTTCTAATTTTGCTGAAAAATAAAACTGAATTGTAACAAATCCCTGACGTGAGGTACTTTGAGCACCTGTGGGAAAACATCCATGTAAACAGCAATACGTGATACAGTACACTTTAAATAACAGACAAGACAAATCCTATGCCGTTCTGACAACATACGGAGCAGCTTTATGCTGAAGCTGATAAATACAATCATAATGCACACTTTCTTGATTTCAGACGCTCAGAATTAAGCCACATAATTTGGGAAGAGAACTGTAAACATCATGCCTGCCTCACAACAGGATGGCAGTGTGTGAGCTCAGTGCGAGCTGTTACAGCAGGATTAGCATCTAGGCCAACTAATTGCACTCAGTGCATGACGACTGTCAGCGGCTGTGAGGAAAGGATAAAGCACCAGAACAGGAACCTGCGAGCAGCACCGAGTACAGAGATACTGCTTGTATCTATTTTTCAAGTATGTGAAGCACCTTCTCATAAGATCATCAAAACGTGAACGTTTTGATCAGCTTACTGCTTTTACTTCATCTCTTCCTCACATGTTAGAAGAGGGAAAGTAGATGATGATTAGACACAAGCACAGAATCTCCTTTCTTTCTCAGTCACCAATATTGGCCAAGGTTGTGTATTGTTTGAGCAAGTTCCTCAGAAGAAAGCTGTAATTCCAACAGCTGTTAACTTAATTCATGGAACACCTGCCCTTGTCTTCAACTTAGTAATTTTTTTACGCATAAGACGTGTAAGAAAAACACCGCCTAAAGTCTTGAAGAGAAAGTAATATAAAAAAACTGCTAAAGCACAATCTGCTTTCACCCTGTGCTAACTGTACCTGACACAAATAACATAACTGCAGATGGGTTTTCACAGGGAATACAATCTTTCAATTCCCTGCCATATAAACTGTTCACTTGCTAAGGTTCAGGAGAAGAGACTAATCACAGAGAAGTGACTGACAAACGCCACAGATTTGAGAACCACTTTTCTTTTTTAAGGAATTCCAGTTCCTTTACACTAGAATTTAAAGGAGAAAGAGACGGAATGATAAGAACACCTTATTATAAGACTAAAATACTTTAGGCCCTGTCCTGTGTGACGTGAATTTTCCTGACCAGTGTTGTCTCTGCTCCCTTAAACTTGCCTATGGTCCAGTCACCAAATAGACAAGAGGTCTCTATTCCTGCCTTGAAGTGCAAAGGGAGTCTTAAAAAGCACCACTTGTTTAACTGTGCATTATTAAAAACACCACTTCGTGTAAGATAAGGGTACACTTCCATTTTCCCCTCTAGATATAAAAGAGCTATGAGATATCCAAATATTGATGCATCAATAAAAAGTATACTGCTGCTCTTACTCCTACTTTACAAATTATGGAATAAAATTAGCGCCCCAAAGAAATCTTCACAAATGAGAAAGCAGTTTGTCAAAAACTGCAAGAAATGGCATACATTAAATATAAAACTCATATACAAAAAAAAAAGGCTTTTTTTTTTTTTTGAAGTTTGGACAGTTCCTTAAAATTACCTAGTTCATTGATTTGAGCCTACCACACACTTACTTAGGACTATAATAAAATATCTAAGGGAGATAAAATACTATTAAAATGCTTCAGTTGGAGAACCGAGGTACCAATCTTGATCACTGCATTAAAACTGCAGCATGTATGCATAGCTAAGAAGAAAGAGTTCTTATGCACTGCTTTCCTCTTGTTCTTGTGTCATACCAGCACTGAATTGTGGAATCTGGTCTGCAAAAGACTGTGTCATCCATTGTCCATTAGGAACTTCACCGAAAGATGACCCCTCACAGTACTGTGGATTGCTTGGTGCTGAGAAATAATAAAAAATAAAGTATAGTTGAAAATGCAGTTGAGACCATCAACTAAAACAAAACCGCACAAAACCATCTAAAAAAAAAGTTTGCATCTTCCCTTGTACTTTTCAACTACCTACTCAGACTGCAGTTCAAACTTATTCTTTTTGAATGTCTGCTTTTGGACACCCAGATCATTTCCCCTGTTAGGTTTTCATTAGAACTTCTTTGAAGAATGACCTTAAGGAGATACCACAAATGTAAGTTAAAAGTCTGAACATTTAAATGAATACTTAACCTTGCAGAATTTTCTGAGTAAAATTTTTCTTCTCAAAGGGACGTTCCCTTTGACAAAATAAGGTAAGTATAACACAAATTGAATTTCACATTCTAATTCAGAACTCAAGATACTGAAGAAGTTTAAGTTTACTTCTGCCATTATTATTATTATTTTAAATTAGTTGGTAGTATTTTGGGAAATAGAATTCCTAATGTCATAGTTACAGTTGCCCAAGGAGGCTGTGGTTGTGGATGCTCCATCCCTGGAGGCATTCAAGGCCAGGCTGGATGTGGCTCTGGGCAGCCTGGTCTGGTGGCTGGCAACCCTGCACATAGCAGGGGGATTGAAACTAGATGATTGTTGTGGTTCTTTTCAACCCAGGCCATTCTATGATTCTATAGTTACAGCAAGATTACTAGACTCATTCTTCTAGTCTTCAAACTGTATGGCCACTACACCAGCTATTCTAACAGAGATTAATTACTCGGGTTACATTGTTCAAATACTCCTTCTTCATTTGCCCCACCAATAATAGAACAATTTCAGTTATCATTCTATGACTTTGCTTTCCTTAGGAATGAAGCTAATTAAGTGTCAAAAAGCATGATACATTCATACAAAAGTGACTGCAACTGAAGAAGTTTACTGTGTAAGCCACTAGTCATGTCTATTTGTCACATCCTATGAATCAGAGTTTGGGAAAACGGTTTGAAGTTGCAGACGATTGATTTTAAATAAGAGTAAATGTGGTTTTTTTTTTTTTTTCCACCCCTTCCTCCTACAGAGACTACACATTCCCTCGGTTATATAAGAGTTTAACAGCTGCTGTGCTTTAAATATATTGTACGAATTGTGGAAGTTGCTTAAAGGGTAGAAATCTAAGTGTATGGAATGGTTATAAGTAGTTATACAGAATGGTTTAGAGAATGAATGTCCCGAGCACCACCCTTTACCAGTTCCATTTGAAGAGAAATTGCACTGTTCGCTTTCATATGGTGCACGATCGCAGTAAGCTCCTCCATATGCTGCTTCATAACCTGGATCATACTTTTCTTCCTTGACAGCCATCTTTTTAGCATCCTCTGCAGAGAGAGTAGACCTCAAGTGTTAAGAACAGAAAGTGTTCAAAGAACATTTTTACTAGAGAATATGTGAAAAAAACTACACATTTTATGAGGTAATTCCAATAACCACTATACCTTGTGCAAGCTGTAAGTCAAACGTGTACTGCACTTCCTGCACCTCTGTGTTTGGTGCAATGCCTTTCAGCTGATCTCGTAAGTCTTTTAGCTTTATGTAATAATGAACTTTATCTTGTGCACGAGGAAACTGAGCGCATCTTGCACTGGATGATGGCATGACGTAGCACAGCTTAAGAAAAAGAAAAGTAGCATTACTGATCCCTAATATTTAGAGCATCAAGAGTAACTGACAGTTAAGCTCATGTTATTGTTCTAATTTTTTGCACAAACATCCACTGATACCAAAGCTGTTTCTAGGAGAGAATAAAAGGAGTTTATTTTTCCTGTCCAGCTAGCTGCCTTGCCCTAAAGAGAGGGGCTGAGTATCAGCTGATGAAACAAAGACAGTTCACACCACTCATTTACACGCTGTAGGAGAGGTGATCAAATATGTGCTACAGTAATTACAAGCATAAGCCACAGAGGGAAGCACACTGCAGAACTCTGTGAACAAGTGGAGCTCACAGCCAGAAAGGCCACAGAGCATGTGATAGTATGCAAAAACCTAAATCCAGCATGAAAAGCATCATGAGGAGTTCATAATTAGCCTTGCTTCTTGGCCAACCGTGCCTATGTCACACAACTTAATCGAAGTCAACTTAGGCGTTTCCATTTCTGCTGGCAGCCCTAGCTAAAGGCCTGAGTTTAGTTCAGAAAAAAAGGAATCCCAACTAATGCATTCATTACAGAACAGCATTTATGAACAAGTACTTGTAAAGAGGGTTATTTATTTATCATTCTTACATTTCCTTCAGAAGTACTTAAAAGCTACTTAAGACGGAAGCATTTTATCACCATCAGTTCCTTCAGGTTCTGATGGCAACACTCCACCATTAGAGAGGGACAGTTTAAACCACTTGAAACTTGAATCACTAATAATTTGGGATGGGTAGAAAAACACCCCAAAAGTTTGAACTGAGCAGGTAATAAAGCTCTGGTAATAAAGCTGCCTTGGCAGGTAATGCAGTTGCCTTTGCTATTAAGAACAAGTTAAACAAACCTATCTGTGATGATACATAGCTGGTCTTTTGGATACTTTCCAGCACCAGATGCCAGTGATAAACGAGTACTTTCCAACTGTAGATGCCTATGATTAGTGCACTCTTCATCAAACTGTTGTACTTTAAGCATCCGATTTAATTTCAAGCTGCTAAATCAGCTTAAGATGACTGTGGCTGACTGAAGTGTTTGGGCATGCTCAGAACAGAAATGCTGCAGAATGTAAGCTCAATCACAGACTTCATATTCCTTTTTTCCTCAACTGTGGCTCTCAGCATCAAAATTCAGTAGTATTAGCATACAGGTAATTGGACAGAGATGATCAGAAGAAAGTAGATGACAGTTACAAAGGCACATGTGTTTTATTAATTTTTTAAATAGTCCTCAGAAAACGAATTAACCTACTAATCATAATACACAATTTCCAAAATAATATCTGCCAGTCTGATTAAGCTGTATAAAAGATGTGCCTGAAAACTGCCCAATCTTTCTCTAATTAAGTAAAAGTCCTTCACATTACTTGTACTTTGACATTACTGTAAGTGGGTGTAAACTCTAAGATTTCATTAGTTTTGAAATGACCAAAGAAGAGTGCTCTTAGTACTTACAGTTTCTGTCTCTGGTACTTTGTGTGGCTGCAATCCAAATTCCAAGTTCTTAACTCGTATTCCAAAGACTTCTCTACTAAAAATTTCATAGATACCTGAAATGAGAGAGCAGGATGAGTGGAAAAAAAAGGCTACTAGTAGAACAAATGCATTCAAAATTAAGATTCTTACATTTTCCATTGAAAGCTGCTATACGAGGTTTATACTTCTGTAATTTCTGCATCAGAATTCGCCCTCCTTCTCGAAACTCCTTACTAGAAGACAAAGAAAAAAAAAAAAAGAAAAGAAATTACTAAACATTATAATCACAACCATTAATTCATTAACAAGTATGATATTCTCCAGTGTTATCCTGCCTGGAGAGGTCTTTGCTTCCAGGTGTTGTCCTTTCCACCATATTTGTAAATCCAATCCCATATTTATGTGGTAAGGTGTGGTCATCCATATGGTTCAGCTGTTCATTACTTAGACCAGACATGAAAAGACACTTCCCTGCAAAAGAGGAAGACAGGTATTCGCTTTTAAAAACGCACGACAGCAATAAAAACCACTACCACCAATAAACCTTTGGCTACCAAGGCACAGTAACGGAATACTGAAGGAAGAGTCTATGTTAATAGAGCAGGAGCTAATTTGGGGGTAACAATGTGACAAATACAATACAAATGGCCTGGGTTGAAAAGGGCCACAATGATCATCTAGTTTCAATCACGCTGCTATGTGCAGGGTCGCCAACCAGACCAGGCTGCCCAGAGCCACATCCAGCCTGGCCTTGAATGCCTCCAGGGATGGGGCATCCACAGCCTCTTTGGGCAACCTGTCCAGTGTGTCACCACCCTCCTCCTTTCCCGGTATGAAAAACCTCCTCCTAATATCTAACCTAAGCCTCCCCTATCTCCGTTTAAAACCATTCCCCCTTGTCCTATCACTATCCACCCTCGTAAACAGCTGTTCCCCCTTCTGTTTATACACTCCCTTCAAATACTGGAAGGCCACAATGAGGTCTCCTGGAACCTTCTCTACTCCAAGCTAAACAAGCCCAGTTCCCTCAACCTTTCCTCATCAGAGAAATTAGCTTTCTCTTACATCTTTGCCACTGCTTTTTATTGCACTTGGCCTCTGTGACACTATCCACTGGCATCTTAAAGTAATATTTAACATATAAAAGTACAGTTTGGATTGTGTGCAGTGTCAGACTCTAAGCACAAGTTAACCACATGTAGCTCCAAATGGTCTGACACGCTTACAAACGCTTGGATTTGTCACAGCACGTATAACTAGTCTGCTTCTCGACAAATGAGACTATTAGATTAGCTAATTTGCAGAACACTGGAAAATAATACCTGATTTACTGGTCTGCTGGGTACCAGAAGTCTTTTGGCTGGAATACCACAGGGTTGCAAATCAGCCTGTGTGGAGTTCCCTATTACCACAGTTGGAATGACTCTCGCTATGCAAAACAGCATATTTCAACAGAGCTCACATACAACCTTTCTTTATGAGAACATGCTGCAGAAAACGTTATTTAAATAGAAAAATAGGCTAAAAAAACTGCCTGGAGAATCAGCTATGCTACATATGCCTGCTGGGAAATGGTAGTGGCCACTGTTTTTCATCACTTAGGAAGCTCACTTAACAGAAATGAATACATGTACAAGGAAGAGGACTTGCTGAAATGCCTCCTTGGGAAAACACAGATAGTTTTGTTGTGAATTGATGCCTACTGACTTCTCCTTGATAACTCAAGAACTAATTGTTTGATTTTTATTCCTAACGTTGCACATTAAGAAGTTATTTAGTGGTACAATCCTATAAACTGCATTTACTTGACAATTCTAAACCTTTCATTTTATTCCTTTTTATGTACACTATTTGTTAGAAAAAGTTACGGGATTTCAATCACTCTCAGAGTGCTAAAAGCAAAATCCCTCTTTCCACTCCTCCTAAAGAAAACCCAACAGCTTAATTAAAGTACCGTAAGTTCTAAAAGTTCTGCAAATGCCATAAATAAAGAGAAAACATACAAAAATGGTTTCCAGGTCCAGGGTAATGATGCCCTTTGTAAGCTGCCATCAAGCCAGGGTTTATGCCAATCTGCAAAGCAAGATACAGCCCATTTTAATGATTGGAACAATGCTCACTGGTCAGGAATGTAAGTTACAAGAAGGACGCCTATTCCACTCTCCGAAGTTACTGTCGATAAACAAAAGCACATCACTGACATCTTCCAGTATTGTTCAAAAACCTGACAATTTTACAGCAGGGTTTCACTGATGTGAACTGTCAAAAGAGCAACTTCCTAGTGTGCTTCACAGCCAGTGCTGTAGCACTTCTGGTAAACTGTCAAATAATGTTTTTTCACGACTATGCATTAAATGTAAGCCTTAGACTTCTCAGCAATTAGAGTTACATTACTATGATTCTTAACAGAAAATGCAAAGCAGCTGTACACACAGGATGCAGTTAGAAAGTTCATGGCAAGACCTTGCAAGGTGTAAGTAACACAGATAAATAATGAAGGAATGTAAATCACAACCATTGTGGCTGGACTGTAAAACACAGCACAGACCATTTCTACCTCATTCTGTAACTGTGAGTTACTCACTATTACGATGTCCAGATCGAAGGTTAAAATATCAGGTAAAGTCTTTGTCAGAAGCTCAGCTTCAGACACACCATTAAAACGGTCCACTTTTCTTTTCACTTTAAAAGTATCTGTGATCTTTTCTTGTTTCCCTTTCGACTTGGTCGCTTTTTCTTTTTTAGCAGCAGGCTTTTTAGGTTGCTTTGGCTCAGTTGCTTTGGCTTTTCTCTTCCTTCCACCTTTTTTAACTTCTGAAAAATAGCAGATACATTTTCTGTACATTTCTAAGGCTGCAGCATGAACATTCAAACAGAATGAACTACATTTATGATTAGAAAAAGAAATCAAACAGAAATATGCCTTCAAAATTCATGAAATAAAACAATTATCAGATGGATTTCAATGTTCCAGGCTCAGCTTGGATCCAGCTTGGGTGTCTCTGTACCACTCACAGGCAACAATGCTGACTTAGGATACGAACCAACAATAACCTCATGGCTAGGCTATGTTGTTTGCATGCTGCACGCAACGATCTTTTCGAGACAGTTTCACTTGTTTTGGAGAATATACCAGAACATGCAAGTTTAGGTTCTGAGGAATGCTGAAGTGAATTCTAGTCTACTATTTACTCCTCAGCTTCTGAATAGGCAAATGCATTGTTACAAATCATATAATGTACTGAGGAAACTGACTTGCATACCAAAAGCAACAGGTCTCAGGGTAAGGTTTGAACTTATGACCACACAGGAACTGAACACTGCATCAACTGCTCACAGTTTCTTGTTTACAGAGCAGACACAGCCCAACACACCATGCAGCAAGGTAATTGAGGAGAGCTTCAGGGTTTACTTCTCAGCTTTTTCATTCTTTGGTAACAAATGTTCTTAAATAAATGCAACTAATTGATACTTTCTCAAAGACTGCCAAGAAAATGAAACCCATCAGCTCCAAAGAAGGTGTTTACTGAGACAAATACATATCCATATGTTTATTCCAACCAATTACTAAGATTTTAGCTCTCTCAGCCCAATCAAACTACCTTTAGGAGGTTCCTGAGCAAGGTTTGGCTCTGGAATGCCCTCTAGAGTTGGCTGCTCAGTCATGGTTTCCATGGTAGGTGGTGCAGTCATCATCTGGTGGAACGGAAATGTGTAAAAAGCTTGAGCTTGCTGGAGATAAGCGTAATATCTTAAAGAGAGAGAAAAAAAGAGGCATAAATCATCAACTATTTAGGAATATAGTGATATACCAAAGAGGCTATAAAATCTATCTTTATCAAGATTGCCAAGCACCCACTCACATTCTCCAGCTACTCTATTAACCAGGCAGTAAATTATTCAACTCTGTTAAGAAGTCCAACTGCTTAGCAGCCACGAGGTGCTGCTACACCCGACACCAACAGCCCAGCTCTCCCATGACTGCTATAAAGTAGAAGAACCACAGCAATTTTAAGGACAGCACAGAGCTTCTCATAACATTGGGGAAAACTGTCTGCAGCCCCACATTAGCCACGTCAACCATCTATCCAACAACCAACAGCTCACAACAAAACTGAGTTAAAACATTCTCTTAATGCTACTTTGTGAGCACTTTGTTCATACATTCTACTGCTATGCAAATACATTGAAAAGATTTCACAAACAGTAAATTTTCAAAAAATATTTTTATTACAACTCTTCATAAATGTATCAGTTTTTAAGTATATAGAAATGAGGCCACCCTTGAGAAGGAATTGTTCTTTATCACGCAAGGGATGTTTAAGAACCACTCTGGCATAAATCTGATTGACAGAAGAGCCCACAGACATGAGGACAGGATGCTAACTTTGAAGCAAACAACTGCCCTGAATCAGGGAGAATAAATTTGTACTCAGATCATAGAATCATAAAGACTGGAAAAGACCACTAGGATCACCCAGCCCAACAACCATCCCATGCCCACTGACCACATCCCTCAGTGCCACATCCACATGGTTCTGGAACACATCCAGGGACGGTGACTGCCCATGCCACTGCAGCACCACTCCTTCTAAGAAGAAACTGCTCCTAACATCCAACCCGAGATTCTCAACCTGCCAAATTTCTTGACTCAGCTGCCAGATCAGTTCCATTTTATATAAAACATTCATGCAGTTCCCGAACCAAACAAAACTGACGTTTGGGTTTACATTAGGGAGCACAGCTGAGACATGAAGAATACAGTTGATGTCGTAATACGTGTGGAACAGAATCAGTTAGAGAAACATGAGGGGATCTCACTGAAAAAAGGTCTCTAACAAGATGCTTTCTTTTAAGACGCATTCTTATTGTATATACTTATAAAATCCCCTTCCTTTAAAGGCTATAGAATTCCCTTAAAACCAGAGGGTGACTTGGAGGGTATCCCAGCCAAGTTCCCCAACCCCTCACTGGTGAGATGAAGGAGGGCCTCCCCCTTCACCTCTGACAC